CCCCGGCCCCCCCCACCCGGCGCCGCCCGAAGCCCGCGGGTTGGTCCCGGGGAACCCCAGCGCCAAGAGCCCCTAAGGGGCTGCCTTCCGGATTCTGCCGCGGGAACGTGTCATTCATTCATTCATTCATTCAGCACACCTTTATCAAACCCGGCAAAGAGATTTCCCCCATACACTTACGAAAGTACCAGAGGCTGTCTGATCCTAAATCGCCTCGGGAAGGTAGCGTTTGCCCCGGCCTGAGCTAGAAGTGATTTCTTGCCTCCAATTTCTGTCGTCATATCTATAATCTTATATTACTTACACACATATATAACTGCAATCAAGACGTTGGTCATTTTAAACAGGCCCGGTTTGGAGAGGTCTCTTCCAAGACTGACACGGAGCCTCCAATCTTTCTCCATGCCTTGAATTTTCCTAAGTTTAGAATTTTTTACTTGGAGCATTCAGAGTCCCCAAACCTTCAAGTTATAAGCAGAGCCGAGTGCATATTTATGTCCCTTTGGGGGGAAATCGGTTGGTTTTATCAAATACTTAAAGAGGCCTGCACCCTAAAAAGGTTAAGAACCTTGGCCTGGGTGGTCCTTGAAAGCCAAAATAGGTGAAGGACATTCCCAGGGTCCACCGTGTACCTTCTGTGGGCGGTGGGCCAGCTCATGACCACAAGCAAGGGACGCTCCGTCTACCCATGCACCGATGCCACATTCATCAGTGACAAGCCCTGCAGAAGAAACACGGGGCTGCCAGCCGGGAACGAACGAGCCCGTCCTTCTTCTGAAGCTTATAGTCTCGTATAGGACAACGAATAAAAAACAAGTGAATAAATACCAGGAAGTAAGAGGAATGCTAATTAGATGAGAGGATTACAAGGATGAGTGCAGGTTGCTGGTATGGCGCAGGGGAAGACACGTTTATTAGCTGGGGGCGGTTCAGAGAAGGCTGCCACCGACCCCACGCACCCCAACCCCTGCTTTCCCAATCCTCCCCACCCCCCATCCCACCCTGAAGGTAACATGAGACCTGGAGATGAGAAGCCAGTGCTCAGAGAGAGGAAAAGAGCTGTCCTTCTCAAAAAGCCCCAAACAAAGCCTCTGGGGCTGGAGTTAAGTGAGGGAGGGTAGGAGAGGTGGGCAGGAGCCAGACGGCGATGGGTCCTTCCTGCATTAGGAAATCCTACACCAAAAGCCCCCAAGGCAGCGACAGCTTCCAACTTCAAGGTTCTCAAAAAGCTCAAATGCCTTTATGCCTTTGATTTTCAGTTGCTACACCCCTCCTGATGGCTTCTGCCCCTGGTGTGTAGCATCTGCCAGAAGTCTGGAAGAGGATTATTTAACAATCAAACTCCAGGCAATGGAGTGAGTTTGACTCCTGACAGATTATCCACTTACTGTGAACTTAGAAGAGCTGCTTTCTAAACCCCTAAATATTCACCCAGGGTGCATTTTCTCCCCACCTGGGACCTTTAGGCCTCCTTGTACCTAAGTAGGATCTAACCATTGTGCCTCTCCACCTTTCTAACTTCAGGGCAGGGCTCAGCCATGTCCCACATTGATCCTCTGAAAAGCACCAGAGCCTTCTGCTTTAAAGGTTTTATTGCTAGTGGAAAGAGATGAGAATTGTAAAGGTGAGTTCTAAAGCTAAAGACGATTAAGTAAAAGGTTAAAGCAGGAGAAAGTTCCCTGACTCATGACCTATGGTAGGGAACATTTGATTAGAGAATGAGGGGAGTTTAACTTAAAAACTATTAGCATCTTTTGCCTCCCCTTCCAACCTGAGATGGGCCGTGGACACTCTCCTAGGCTTCTCTCCCTGGTGTTCTTCCCTCTGGATTCTCACATCACACCCTAGATCACTCTCAGGGCTGGATACTTCATATAGGTTATCTTGTCGGGCTGTCGAGATGACCTATATAATTCAATACATGGTTTGCAAATATTTTCTCCAATTTTGAAGGTTGCCTTTTTATTTCGTTGATTGTTTGGGGGAGTACTATGCCCGTTGTACAGATAAGATCTTGAGACTCAGAGGCAGGGAGGCCAAAGCAGGCATAGACAGCCACTAAGAGGCACAGCTAAGCCTGGAATCCCCTCTGAAGAATCCCACCCACTCAGGACACAGCAGTGGTATTAAGCAATGTTTCTTCAGAATGCCCATGTGTCTCAGTGGAATAACTTGCAGTTTCGAGTCTTGATTTTCCTATCCCATCTTTGCTCGTTTTCAAACTCCTGTCTCCATATGAGATCTGCCAGCAAGGAGGTCAACCCCAGCGAGGACTCAGAGGCCCTGTAATTCAAGACATTCCACTCCTAAGAGGAGTTCCCTGGTCCTCCCTAACCGGGCCTTTAGATTCAAAATCTGCTGTCATTGTCTTAACCTAAAACTAAAAGGTCAAAGTGAGAGACAACAATCATTTATCTGAGATCCAAAAGAAGAGCTATTTGGAAAATACTGATGCAGGCAGAAACCCAAATAGTGTTCCCATTAGGGGGTAAAGGCAAGGGGTATTTATGAGAAAAGGAAGGGGAACAAGTACCTGAATAGAAGGAAGAAATAAAATGTGCAGATAAGCTAACACAGCGATGCTCGTTCTAAAGAACAACTTCAATGTTCAGTGCAGTAGTCATAGCAAATAGTCGTTTGGAATACAGTGCTGCTTCAGCCCCAGTCCAAAGGCAATTTTGCCCAGTTTTAACATCCCAGAGGTTTGAGGAATAAGACACGCAAGGCGGTTCCTTTGAGATGGCAGCTCCAACTCCATTTTAAAGTGGCTCTGTTTATGTTATTTTTCACCATCGGCAGAAGCCAGAGTGCACAGCATGTTACGTATTTCAGATTAGGTCGTGTCTGAGCTGGTGCGTGCGATTCTGTGTGTGCGCATTGACTCACAACACAAGGCCCTGCTCTGAGGTCAACTCGAGTTACGAGTTTCACTCCTCAAATCACTCCATAACGACACAGTAACAGCAGCTATAGAGAATGCAGAAAAGGCCACCATGGAATCCCCAGGGGAGAAGAACAAACGAAGGACGTGATAATACGGTCCCTAAACCAAAATATGAACTCTCTGGAAATGGAGAGAGATCAAGTTACAAGTTTTAAAAAAATAAAAGAAGCAAAGGAGAGGCCATCACATGATTTGTCAGGAAGCGAAACATCTTTCTAATCATAATGGTCATTTAGTTAAATGTTAACTAAACCAAAGATAAATGGAACTAAATCAAAGATAAATCGATCGGGGCCGGAAGCTCCTGGGTTTCCCATTTTGTTAGTCTTGTGAAACACGAGAAACGGTCAGCAGACTGACGGTTATCCCTGCTACACCAAAAAGAAAAAATAAAATCGAATGCACGTGTATCTCCATGGTCGGGCAGTTACAATCGCCATTAAAAATGCAGTGTATGTCAGCATAAAGGTTCTCAGCGAGACGAGAGCCTTTGTTCTTGAGGCTCCATGTGTATGTGAAACAGCGAGACGAGAGCCTTTGTTCTTGAGGCTCCATGTATATGTAAAATCGTATCGTCTTTCTCTGTCTGACTTATTTCACTTAGCACAATACCCTCTAAGTCCATCCATGTTTCCGCAAATGGTAAGATTTCATTCTTTTTATTGCTTCATGATCGAACCAACAAAACGAAATAAAAACAGACTCATCTCAAAAACAGAGACCAAAAAGATGGCTGCCATGTTGTGATAGGTTTGCACAGTGACAGATGAGTACTAGAATCAGTAGGGTGATCACATTGCAGGTATAAAAAAGTCAAATCCCTATATCGTGCCCCTGAAACTAATATAACTAATATAATATTGTGTACCAACTAAATAAAAAATAAAATTAATGACGTTTCCATTTTTAAAAAAAAATTGAGAACCTTTGAAACAATCAGAACGTTTGCACATATGGGGCTGGCCCTTGATTTAATCCTCCGAGCCACTGTCCAGAAACTTGCCTGCCCTACTCTGGGTCTCAATCTCAAAGAATTGGCATCATTCCTTTTAAGAGAGCATCCCACTTTAGTCTGACTTTCGCTACCAATGCCTCACCATTCATATCCACCAGACTTTGGAATTCTGAACCCTCAAGAAATTGCCACCCTCCAGGAAGTTCTTGCGCCTTCCTACCTGACAGGCCTTCGGTTTGGGCTGGAGCTGGATGCCACATTGGTATACGCTACCAGCCTCCTGTGGAACCTACTGAACTTCTTGGTTGATTCTTAAACTTCAACATCAGCTAGAGAACCATTAGCCCTGATGCTCCTGATGAGCAGCAAACTTTGCTTTTGTAGCCTTCAGTTGTACTCCCCACGTAATCCTGCGGCCACGTCGAAGCTGAGCGTACTTGCAGAGTCCCTAGATAAACGTCTACGTTGGTCAAGGGAATGAACCTCAAGACCAGTGTTTCAAAATCTGAGGTAGGAAGTGGGGAGGGCGATGGAGAACGATAAGAATCACTTAGCTCTCAAGTGAGTTTGGACAGCGCAAGGGTTGAGAGCTAAGCCCTGCCCAGGGTAACGGGGCTTCGAAGACCTGTGCTCGGTGCTGGGCTTGTCCTACAGGAGAGGAGCGTCTGCCGTCGAGCACCTTGACTGCCAGTCCAGCTTCTCCCCCTACCAGCCATGGGACGGTGGACAAGATGCTGAACCTCATTGTGCCTCCCTTTCC